ATACCTCATCTGTATCACTAGGCATAAATCTTCCTCTAAGTGCTGTGATTTTGACTATGTGCTGGTCCTCATCAGGTGACTTCTTAAAGGACAGCCTGCACTTGTATATGACCCAATTCATGAGGGCTCTCAGCTCCAATTCCAAACAGCTCTCAGTAGTTGATACCCCAACTTTCATTGTCCAAGTGTCAGTCGTTAGAACTGAATTCAGTGAAGTTAGAATGAACATTTTCTTTCAAGTCAGGTATGCCTGAGTTTTAGTTCCAGCTGTATTGTTTGCTGAATGAGTCTGGGGGCTCTCCTCTATAAAATAATGACAAGACTAGTGCTTACTTTTGTAGATGTTGTGAGCTTACTGGTTACCTCATGTCTATAGTGCTTTTTGGTTTTTGGTTTTTTCATTTGGAGTATCTCTTAACTCCATTTCTTCTCTCATTTTTCTTTCCTCCTATAGTTTAGGCTCTGCTAATGAAATGGCTCTAATGTTTGCTTTTAGAATTCTAATATCAGTCCCCTGTCTAGAATAACGATTTATAGACATGCAATTGTGACCAAATATATTGTGTACATAACAAAATTTCCTAAATTGTTTATATTTTATATGTAACATTTTCATCATGTGGCGACAAAAGTCAGACTTTGTGACTTAACCTATAATGATATTTGGAGCAGTGTGAGTATTTATAATTGGAATTTTGTCTTGGAAAACTAACAAGGCTTAGAAATGTATCTGCAAATAGGGACATATCATCTGGTCTATAGTACTGGCTGATTTACCATTTGGCCCAGTAGAGACATGTCAACACCAAGAACAGAGGAGAGAACAAAGTGACAGTGACTGAAGATTGAAAACTGTTCTCTTTTAGGTTTATCAACATGTTTATGATTTACCAAAATAAACAATGAGGTAATGGGTCCTCTTCAGACAACTTGGACTGGACACAGTGATGGGTCACTCCCAAGTATCTGCACAAGGCCATAGATAAATTAAGTTTTCCAACGCTCTGGAGAAAGGAACTGAATAACCTGCACAGTAATTTTGATATTTTCTTGTTTGGGCAGAAATGAGAAATGAAGTTTAAAGTGAAGCCTCCTGGATTACTAAATTGATAACTATCCAAATATAGAGTTCACATAGAAATAGTCCTTCAATGTGCCTCTTTACAAAGTTGACACCTCCATTGGTAGGGAGTAGTCTTCATTATTGGTGGCAATCTACTTTTTGGCAGTCAATTGTGAATAAATGTGTACTGCTGAACCAGTACTCTTTCTAGTGTTTGTTTGGCCAGTATCTCCATATTATTTTTTTTCCTTTCTCAGTTTTTTTTCCTTTCTCAGTTTAGAAGCAAAGCCACAATTTTCTCAGTCCTTTGGTGTTAACATGCTGGTCCTATCAAGAGGGAAATCACACTTCATTTGGTTCAGGTGCATTAAAGCTTAGTACATACAAGCAGGGGTGAAATGGAGCAAAACTGGAAAATATAGTTAAATTGATTTCTCAGAAAACATAGGTGCGGAATGTCAGGGTAATAGCTGGGATACACTTCTAGGTCCATGCAACTTACTGTGGAAATGAAGAAATGAACTGTAGCAAGAGAAAAATCAACTGGCATTCCTTTTAAATTTGTTAGGCATTAGCTAAGTTTATAAAAACAGACAATGTAATACTTTCTGTCATTTAAATAGCAGGACAATTATTTGATTGACTTCAAAGACAAGAAAGGGTTATTAGTTCCAAAAGGTACTTTGCGATGTTCTTGCTTAGGCTACCTATGAGAAGTTCTAGAATATTTATTATAGCTTTGGGATGTGTTGTTGGTCCAATAAAAGTGAGGTTTTATTAGAGTAGAACAGTTCTGGGGAGAAACCATACCCATGGTTCAATGATCAACATGTGGCCTAACTTACGGTAGTTATCCCTTTAACCTACTAGCCACAGCTACTCCTTGCATTTAGTAGGTAGACCCTTGTAAATGTTCATTGAATTTAATGAATTTCTTTATGTATGTATATCATATTGGCATGTGTATATGTATTCTATTCACATGCACATGGGCAAACATGTAGGAACATGCCTGTGCACATGTTTGAAGATAAGTGTGAAGGCCTGAAGTTGACATTGGGTATCTTCCTCAATGGCTTTCCACATTAGTTATTAAGACAGGGTCTCTCAGGGAATCTAGAGATCATGGATTCCAGCTATTCTAGCTACCCAGCTTGCTCAGGAGATCCTCGGATTTCTATCTATACTGGGATGACAGGCTTCTACACTTGGCTTTTTAAATGGATTCTGGGGGTTCTCATTTGTGTGGTAAGTTCTTTGTCCATTGAGACATACTCCAACCTTGTGTATCTCCTGAGGAGCATAATTCATACCCATAAAGAAGAAGAGAAATAAAAATGCAAATGTGAAATTACATAGTTTAATTATTTTGGTGTTTCTCAATAAAAATACTTATATACAATAGTGGCGCTTTGGAGACCCTAAGACAAGAGAAGGATTCAGTCTGGCAACATTAGAAGCATTACACTGAAGACCCCAGTGGTTCCTAGCTGCCATTTACAGAAACTCTTACGTATACACTTCTTGCTGTAAACAACCTTACAGGCTCTTCAAAGAGACACATGATGGGCAGAGCTTTAGAATTTAGTGAGATAGCAAGAGAGCTCCCAGAAGCCTGGCTAGATATTGTTATATTGGTACTGCCAAGGTATCTGTCTATCATCATGTTGCACTGTCTTCAAATCTACTGTCTTGAGATTTCTGTACAAACTAGAGTCCATGTGGAGTAGGTGGGAGCCAGGGCTGCAGATGTAATGAGAATAGCCTCTCTCCTCTAGACATTCCTTATGTGGGAGAATTGAAGGCATGTAATTCATTGCAGAAGCATGTTAAGATTTTTCATAGGGGTACATCTTTCCAGAGCAGTCAGTATGTGTTTGAAATCTTCCTAGAGAAGCTGGAGAGCAAAATACTCTGGATGTTTATGTGAGGGTCAAGTGGGACAAAGAAAGTGAAACATTTTATAAACCATAACATTGATGTAGCTTTGCACATCAATGCATTTGAGTATGTGTATATGTTTCCTTATATTGTGTGTATCTTATACACAACTAAGAATGTTTTAAGTTTCCATTACTTAAAAGAAGTAAAAACTTATCTCAAATGTTTCAAAAAATAGTGCAAAGCAAAACCATTAGCATTATATTAATATTTATATCATAAGTATAATTATGCTTTCCAAAAACTTCTATTTTTTTTTTACTTGGTTTGTGTGTATGTATTTTTTTTCTCTTTTCCTTATTCCCTTTTGGCAAGTCCTTATTGCTATTGTTTATTCATTTGCTTTGCTCCATGCTATGTGAACAAATTATCACTGGATATGTCTAATAATCAATACTATATATATTAGCATCCATTATATAGAAGTCTCAATTATTTTTTCATGTTATTAATATGTCAGGAAAACATCTCCTAATTTTTTAAACTCCTTAATCTATATTTCATTCAGTTTATTTATGATAATCTGTAATTAGAAATCCATACTGGGAGAGCTTCCTATTCTATGCCATCAGAAGCAGCCTCTGTGTACCCCCAATGAAGGTTCTGACCCACCCTGTTCTCACAGCACAATTTGCAGGATGGTGACAGGAACATAAACATCGGAGTTTTGGACTCTAAATCACTGTCGGGGCCCTCTTGCTCTTGGAATCTGCATTTCGACATTTTCATTCCCAAGTCGATGACTCTTAATGTAAACACAAAAGCTCCTGCAAATACTCTTCTAAGCCTCCCTGCTGGAAGCTTCTTTCTGGCTAGAGAAGGCATCTAGCCGCATCTCTTTCTGGCTCTGTTGTGCTCTCTGAGACTCATCACAGCCTGGCTTCTCACTGCAAACTCTGCACTTTGATATGGAGTGCTAGAAAATGATTTTCTTTGATGGGGTCCTGAATCCAGTGTGTTTCCAGGCAGAGCCTGCTATCCTATCTTCAGGGAACTTTCACAAGTTCATTAGGCAAGACCTTCCCCATAAATCTAGCGGTTGTCTTTCCAAGGTGCTCTTTTGCTAAAGCCTCCTGCAAAATGCCCAGCATTTCCTTCCACACCTGACTTCTTTCCCCAGTCCATGAACTCTGAAACTGGTAAAGCCACACTTGAAAAATAATTTAATGCCACCATTCCCCTGGTTGTCAGTTACAAGGCCTGAGATCCTTCTGTGGTTGTCTGAGGATGCCTTGCTTGGATTTGTTATTAGTAGACATCGCTATTACTGGGACTCCTGAGTTTTGGAGCAAGAGCAGTCTTGGGGCATAATTCTGACATTGTCACTGGAGACATATGGACATATTACTACAGAGTTAGAGTTAGAAGGACTAAAGAGTAGATAGTAAAAGCCTAAACAAATTAAAACCTCCATTAAAGATGTCTTAAACAAGTTTCCCGTCCTATTTGCACAAGCCCACAATCACACACAGTACTATGAAGACCAAGTGCCATGAGTTTGAGGCCAGCAAGGGCTACATAGCATGACACTGGCTTTGCTCTCCACCTCAAAAAAAAAAAAAAAAAAAAGACAAAACAGAAAGCAATTGGATAAGTTGAGACATTTTCTTTTGAAAGTAAGCCTCATCAGTGTTGGTTGTTGTGCTTGTCTAGGCTTAAGGATTCTGGAAATTTCCATAAAGTAGAAAAGAACTCTCCTCTACTCTTAGCAGATAGTCTGAAACAATAAGAGTAATGCCCTGAGAACCAGACAGCCGTATTTTCAGGATGACAATTCTCAACACTCAGAATTGGAGAGGGCTTGACTGACCGGCTACGTGAATCATTTAAAATCCTCCTGTGAAATGTGGACCCTCTGACTCATTCTTATTTGTTTTATTTTAGCCATTTTTTGTCTTCTTTCCAGTAATTTTTGTATTTACTAAAAATAAGCCTACCCTAAACTTAAACTGGACTGGCTTCTGAGTTTTTTTCTTTCTGTTCCTCTGTCTTCTAGCTGCCCGATCTCTGTGCCAGAATGTTATAGAGAAGGCGTTTTGTTTATTTGAACTAAGCCAGTGACCTTTGCCAGCATTCGAATCATGAGCTGCAAATTACATGGAGTACCTTCCCTGCATCATGAAGAAATGGTATCGAGTTCCAGGGCCGTATGGGACGAAACTGCATTTGCTCTCAGCTCCTCAACATTTAATGAGAGATCCTGAACAACAGATAAAGTTGACATGATATGACAAAGATCCATGGTGGCAGGGAGGCTTTTTTGTCATAATGGTGATGTGCAAACTTCAGAAGATTTAGCCTTCAAGTTTGGACACACTGCCAAGAATGCGGATTCCTTTTTTAAGTGGCCAGATGTCTCATGTCTGTAGAACTGTGCTTTCTGAGACATTTTCTTTATTTGTTGGTTTAGATCAGAACAAGAAAGTACATTGCCTTCTTGAATCTAATTCAAGTCACTTCCCGGGTCTGAGAAGCATACCATACCTTCAGACACCTATTTTTATCATTTAATATATTATGTTGGATTTTTACTGACTGTGTCAAAGCTAGATTTATTTTAGAACATATATATTTCATCTTAAGCAAAGTCAAAATGTTAAAAGTCACTGTATGAAAACCAGGGAATGCGATGGAAAACTAGCAGATTATCAGAAAGTAGTTTTTAAAAAAACCCACAAACACCAAAGGGAAATCAGACAGGTCTTTGATAACTTTGCTTCATTGAGCGCCCTGGGACTGTCTTGGTCATCTCTACACAGCAACAAGGCTACCTTCATGCACAGATTATGGTTGTGACTATCAAGGAGAGAAAATTACTGAAGTACAAGTTTTTTACTTCTTAAAAGAAATTTTATATCCTGTTATTGCAAGTGATACAACACCAAGGAGTTAGGTTCTCACATATTACCATGAATCCTTTTACTCACTCACCTCAGTTCTGAAGAGAGTTGACCAGTTCTCCATTAAGCTCAGGCTGAACTCTCTCATGGATTCACTGGAACTTCATGTGTGTTAAGAGCAGAAATAGTTGACAGCTTTGCTCACTGTAGTATCCATAAAGAGTAGGAAAACAAATTAGTGCTGTTTGCTCCTTATGCATACACTGAGTCCATGGCATGGGGCTTCAAACATTACTATTAACAGTTCTCAATTTGAACATTACAAGCTGATTTTAGTGACCTCAATCACAGATTTGATGGCTGTTGATATTTAAGAGGAAGCATTCCCACAATGCTGAGAGCATTCCTCATGGACATGGCATCATTCCACTGAGAATGGTCCTGTACTTTTTTCAAGTTGGTAGTCTGAGTTAGAACAAATCTCTCTGCCTTTCTGGTTGACACCATGAGGTAATAGTCCTTCATACATTGGAATTTGTTCCTGCACCCATAATGAGCTCCATTCAAACATTTTAAACACATGATTTCCATAATCCTAAATCCTGCTCTTCATTGTTGTTATCCAGCATCGAGCATAGAAATTATGTAAACCTTAATGAACCTGTGAACATTCTCTTCCATGCACTTCCAGAAAGCAAAATGACAATGTCTACAGCGTACCGTAAACATCATCTGCTCCCCCAGGACCAGCACTGTGATTAAACTGCTGAGACTGAAGGCTGGAAGGGGAGTGAGAGATCCTGGGACAGGATGATGTGCAGGGCGTAAGTCTAACTTTAAGTTAACTTTTGTTGTTACTTTTCAGCCAGTGATGGTATTAAAAAGTTGTAGACTCCAAGGAAAATGTAATTCCAAAACTTATGAAGTTCTCCTTGGGTAATTGGTAGAGGATCCAAGTAAAGAAATAGTAGAGTTCTTCAGAGGCCTGGGTGATCTGCTGCCTTGTGTAATAGTTATAGCAAAAGAGAGAGAAAAGCAAATGACTAACTGTCTTGTTCAGAAGGATACTATGTAAGCAATAGACAGCACATTCTGGAAGGAGTTCAGGAGATATGTTTGGAGTACTTACATAGTACCTCACTTAGCCGTCGCTTTACTTCTCTCTCTAAACAATGCTCCATAGTGAAGTTCCCTTCTCTTTATCTTTATATGGATGAGTCAGCCGCTCTCCTCACGAAAGATTAAATGAGATAATGCATATAAAAGTGTTACCTAAGCCATAATGTGTCCTGCTAATGTTACACACTGTCAGGGCCCATTAATTTACTTAGAAACCAAAACAAACAAACTCTAGTTCTTAGAGGTGTGCAGATACTGAATAAGCATTGTAGGCACCTGGGCTCCCTCACTGAATGAATGACATCCTCCTTGAGAAAGGAGAAATGAAACAAAGAGGTGGTGATGTCAGTTCTTACAATATTTTAATTCCATCTCTATGCTCATGAACAGCAAATATGTTAGGGACTTCTTACCTTTCTAGGACCTAGAATTCAAGATTCCAGCACAGTAGAATTAAATTCCATAACTTCAAAGAAAGCCAAGTTGCTCCCTTGGTCCCTATGCTGGACATGCTGGAAAGATAATATGAGGATACTAGAGAAAGAAATCATCTCTGAAGCTGGAGGATGAATGAAGACTTCAGCTAAGTCTGCTTACTGAATCTAGAAACAGCCATGGAAGAGCACACCATTTGGGTTCTCAGAAACCAAGCATATAGGGAGACTAGGATGGGAAGATATGATAGGCCCAGATGAAGATAAGCTTCTGTGAACAAGAGACAAAGACTCCAGATTGGATAAATCAAGCAGCTGGTAAGCAAGGGTGAGTTGGACTGCAGAAAAACACCTTTAGCCTTGAAGGCCCACAGATTCGAACTAATGTCTTAGCGCTATAGATCAAGTCCTTAGAGAAAAGTGTGGCTTAGATAAGTAAGACTGTTGTGGTACAGAGAAGTAAGTTTGAGTCACCTTAGCAACATGGACAATTGGGATAGATAATCCTCTCTGATTTCCCATTGCTTAGTAGGACAATGACTGTGCACATACTAAGTTAACTGAAGATGTAGGATGGTGTTCTCTATCTGTGTGCAATATTAATAACCCCTGGATCTCTCAAAGTTAAATTGGCTAGCCTAATCCTGACTCAAGCCAATTCAATTTAAATCTCCAACTGGGGGTACTTGGACTTCTTTGATTGGTTCAGGTTTCCTAAATGATTCTAATGCAAGCTTCGGAACCATTTACTTACAAGTTTTAAGATAAAAAAGAAATGTGTGAGAAGCTTATGCTCAAATCACTTTTTCTATGGTGACTCTATGAGTCAATGATCTCTAATGGCATCTAGAAATGCATCAAAGGGCAATTATTAGCAAGAGTCAAGCAGTGCAAACTGACAGCATCAAGGTGGCCCCAACAAGGTAAGTACTGAATCTGATTCTTCGCAGTCTTTTCCTTACTAAGAGTAAAGATGAAATAAACTAGGAAGCCACTGCAGTCTGCTTCCTAGGGCTCATGCAAACCTCATCTTGGCATCATCCAAAGGAGACTCAAGGAAAAGCCTTCTCTGTAATTCTCCATAGCATCCTCCTCCCACACTCATTACCACAAATAGTTACTGAACTTCTATTATGTTCATTGATTCTTATTTTGTGTACCAACTATAAAGCTTATATGCAGGCTGTCAGTGGAATTATAGCGGAGTGCTGGAGACAAAGATTCTGTGTCTTTGCTCACCCAATGACTACTTCTGCAAAGTGAAGACTGGGGAGTCCAATGAGATCAAAGACTTAAGAGCTGATAGTGCTGAGAACAGGGGATGTGAGCAAGGATGCTCATTGAAGATTCCAATAATCTTGACTCTGGCACTGTTGCTCTTCTCATCTGTCTTTGCATCTTGTGTCATGATCTCTACCTAGTTCAGTCAGATAGAATGGAGCTGGCCAGAACCTGCCTAATGAACAGAGCCAGGAGAAGTTCATTTAAAACTTAGGATTTACCAACGTGTCAGAATAACTGCCTGGCGGATGAGCAATATGAGCAAAATGGCCTCATAGCGACAGGCATGGAAAGGGATACAAGATGTCAGACTAAAAAGCATTTAGTGAATGCCACAGTTGCTATTCGACTTAAATCTTGAGTCCTAGAATGATGGGGTATGTCAGAAACTTGCAGAACATATTATGAGATGCTCACAACTGGCTGCTCCTTATAGAAAAGCAAGACTCAGACATGCATTTGGGCACTGGGACAGGATGAATTATATGGATGTGAGCTAATAGTTCAAGGCCTGTGTCCTGGAACAAACTTGGACTAAGTCTCTGGAAATGGAACCAAGTTTCTCTAGGCGCCAAGGGGACTTCGTGCTTGGCTGGTGAATATCTAATCGCTTGCTCCCTGAATTCCCCAGGCCTGGGGTCAAGAGGGTTTCCAGGCATTTGGGGGCTGGATCTGAGGTTGGAGTTAAGTGATTCCAGCATCTATATAAAGGCAGAAAGCCAAAGAGATCATCACTATGACTGTTTTTAAACTTCAATTCTAGTATCTTTCCCAAACTACCTTTGGTGTGTGGTTGTAGTCCATCTAGTAGAATTCCCAAAGAAAGGATATTAAATAAGCTATTTCAAGTTGAACAAAGTTAGGTGCTACTTCACAATGCCCCAAAATGACATAATATAAAGATCACAAAAGTATTTATCTGAGAGAATGACTATGTGCATTTGATAGTCTAGAAGATCTGATATTATGGGGAATATGTAATATACTTTAAGTATGTATTGGTATACACAAGAAAGGCATAGCTGCAGTATAGGCACATTATTGATAAACATGATTTTCAGGGGCTGGAGACTCAGAAATTCAGATGACTCAGAAATTAAGAACACTGACTGCTCTTCCAGAGGACCTGGGTTCAATTCCCAGTACCCACATGGCAGCCCACAACTATCTGTAACTCTGGTTTCAGGAGATCAGACATGTTCAATAGCAATGCAAATAAAATAAAGTTAAATAAATAATTTGAAAAATAGGATTTTTGAAAGAACAATTCCTATCCCCTTTCAAAGTTAAAATGGGCTTTCTCATATTCAAATATCTGATAAATATTACACTTATTCTCTTGCTTTACAAGAACCAATATTAGCTGTTAGAAGATATCATGCAGCCATATAATAACACACACACACACACACACACACACACACACACACACACTCAACAATAAAACAATCCCTAAAGGAGCTGAAAGAGTGCTGTGTTACCCAACATATCGCTGAGCTAGCAGCTAAACAACCATCCACACACTCCCTTTTTGTATGATCAAGTGGTGTACATTTGAAACAATAATGGAACTAAATTTGGAGAGAAGGGGCCCCTAAGTTTCAATTTATTTGTTTCACAATCACAGCCTCAAACTGAAGGGAAAATTACGCAGCAGTTTGATAAATAAAGTCCTATACATTCAAGCACAAAATGCAAAATGAAAACTTTTAGAACTTCAAATAATCAAGGACCTTAGATTAATTCCATCAGTGGTTTCAAGTTTTTTTGTTGTTGAGAATTTGCGGGAGAATTCGGTATGAAAGCACTCTAAGTAGGGCCTGATTATATCAGTGTCTCTATTTCCTTTTAGAACACACATCTGTTGTTGTGGAGTGGGGGGGTGGTGGTGGAGGGAGAGTGTGGTTGTGGTTATTATGGAAATACAGCAAAACCAAATATTTTAAAGCAGATGAGAAGAAACCCACAAACAGTTGGCTCGCAAATGGTGTAACGTTTTCCACACACCCCGACACAAAGGCAGCAGCGGCGGCGGCATGGGCTACAGCAGCTTGCATGGTGGCCTCGGGTTTATCTGTTCCAAACACTGGACTGCTCTAGGTAGTTAACGGCCGGGCGGGAGATTGTTTTTCCTCTTTATTCTCCTCTCTCTCTTTAATTGTTGTTACTCTGTTTTGCCTGAAAGCTGCAGTATCTCACTGTTCATTATTCCCTGCTCAGTCAAATCCTGTCCAAAATTAACTCCTTGTGCCCTGCTGTGTTTTTCCACCTTGCATGTTTACAAGATGCACAGCACGGACCTCTCTGTAGCACTTTTTGATATTTCCATGTAGATTATATGGATAATCGCTTTTTTAAAAAAATAAGTCAATGCTGAATTTACTGGTCTGTTTCTTCAACATTTAAATTTCTTAAGAAAAGCATTCGTAGTTATTGATAAATTGTCCTCCAAACCCCCAAGTTTCATGCTCAGGCTTTTTCCCTGTTATATATATACCCTGTTCCTCAGAACCTGTGCTCAATTGCTGAGTTCTTTTACCACTTTTCTACCTGAGGTTATTGAATGAGTATTCTCACACTTCACACTCAAGCTGGGAGAAAGGGGGAGGGGGGGAGCCAACAGTCAACAATACTCCTGGGGAACAGAGGTTTCTCTTCTCAGTCTTCAAGTCCCAGAGTCTTCAGCTTGAATTAAGGGCGAACATCAGACACACCATAGAGACTGGGAAGTCGCTGTTATAAATTAATGACTATTTGCTGTGCAGT